CAATTTGCTCCCAAGCGGCAAAGAACATTAATTAATTAGATAAATCAGCATATGTGTCCTCCTGAGCCATCACCACTCTACTTTCACAGACATAACACATGTACTCCCTGTTGTTTATTCTGGAGAGCAGTTTCACTTTCATTAATTTGCATTCAGAAGCTGTTCTGAAATTTACTGCTCTCACAAGATCATAAATTTAAATCTGCCTGAATTCACTTGTAATAAAGGATGTTCTTTTCCTTTGGCTTAAAAGATTTTCTCCTCTTAGTATTTACCCTCTGATACATTTAAAGACAGCAATCATGTCTTCTCCATTTTAAAGTAGCTTAAAAAATCAGACTTTACCTTTCTCTTCTCCAAGAACTAGGTAGCCAGTCCTGCTTATCCCTTCCTGCTTCTTCTTCTACATACACTTTTTTTGGACTATAAATGACTCCATAAATCGAGGCATTCCACCCTTTAAGCATAACGGAGTATATGAAAATCTTTCAGATTTTCTAGAATGTGCATTTACATTTCTCAGATCTCAGTGTGAATCTCAAGGATCTTCTCCTACTCCAGCTTTGCAATCATAGTGGCAACCAGCTTGCCATTTCATGCAAAATGACTTGTAGATTTGAGGGACTTGCTTGAGCTTGCATACTTGAGTTCTGATATTTAAGAAATTTCATCAAAGACATTTTGAAAACAGTAGCTGAATAAGCTTGGGATCCAGTCTGAATTTTTCAAACACAGAGAAAAACAGGGAAATTCCATCAATTTACTCGAAGTAATTAGGTTACCTAAAGTGAGCCTTAGTTCTTAGGCCAGTGAACAAATTTAAAATGGAAAGATGCTATTAGCACAAAGCCCTAATCAGCCACAGGGCTTTCTGTCTAATTATACTAATCAAAGCAGCATCAAGTTTCACATTTTTCAGAGGCCAAAACAGCAACCTATCTCAGCAGTAACTGTACACAAGTAACACAACAGCAATAAAACCAATCTCATCAGTACTTAAATCTATTAATGTGCTGTGTAACATGCTAGCTTTTCACGTACAGAAAGAGAAAGGAAATTTATGACAGATGGAAATTAAGACAATCTGTATCCATTAAATTCCCAAATGATGCTGTGGTTGCCTCAGTGCTGTAGATATTCAGTATTTAAAATACAGAAATGTTAAAATCTGAAATAGCAAATGGAAGACCAACGAAACATTTTCACTTCAGAGATGCTTTGATGCTTACTCAGATATTACATATACAGTTTGAGCTGTACACACAATCTAAGCCCAATCAAGACAGGTTTTTAACTCAGCTTAGCTGATGAGGGAGTCTAATGCTAAAACCTTTCATTACATTGCCTGATCATCTCCCCAGATGAAACAGCAGACCAAATTATTGTACTAGTACTTATTCTTCCAGTCCAGAATGGCAGATATGGCAATTCATGGGACGGGCAGAGAAGAGGCTGGTTTATTACAACAGAAAAAAAAGCGGGCGGGTGGGGGTTGCTCTGTAAAATTCCTAGTCACACACAAAGAATGACAATAACACGCAAGGGTTCATACCTGGGCTATGTTACATTAGGTATAAATGTGACTCTCAAGTTATTTGCTTATTGCTTCTAGAAACTTTACTTGTTGCCTCTAGTTAGGAGTGAAAAAAAGTGCAAAATACAGCGTTAGCCTTTCAAAACTACGGAAGTGGTGTCTGCGTAGTCTGAGGAAACACTTACTTTTCTGGTTGAAGTATGGGAGGAAAATGGCAGAGGTGCCACTTGTTTGAACAGCATCAACTCATCTGGGGTTCAAAAGAGAGAAGAAAGTAAAGGGGACTAGTTAAAAACAGTCTGCTATATTAATATCTGTATTTATGGCACTCACTAAGCTAGGAAAAATATCCCTCATGCTGAACTTCTTGATTGTCATTTTAATTATAATTTAATTATGGGAAATTCTCAAGTGGAGTAAAATGTCTGTTTAAAAAGCATTTACATTATTTCAGTCCTTTATTACATTAACTGTTAACACAAGGTCAGTTATATTTTTTCTGTTCCATTCTTTCTGAAAGCAAATGACAGAAGTCTTGAAAAGTTGTCTACTATGTCAAAACATAAGAGCCAATATAGGAACAAGAGTAAGGGATGAAATAGGAATCAAGTGCAAGTGATATAACTGGTGCCATCCAATGCTTCTTTGAGGAGTAATAGGGAGAGACAACAGTACCTTGTCTGCACTGGTGAATTCTTTGAGTTATGACAGTCATAATCCAGAAGTCTATTTCAGTGAGACTCAGGCACCTAATATTTTGAGGATTCATATCCAAGTTTCAAGTAGAATGTCCAACTATATTTTGTATAGCATACTATGGGAATATAGCTCTATCCACACCAGTACAATGAAGAAGTCTACATGTACCATAAATATTTTAGGCTTCATGGTGTCCTGCAGATAATAAAAATATTAGTAAAGAGATCCATGGTGGTCTTAGCCTCAGCCTGAAGAGCAGAGTAATTCTTGATCTGCTGTTTCTTAGCTTTATTGAGCTCTGCGTAGCAGGTATCCTGACCCCCTTAAGAAAGTTCAATCTCTGGCCAAGGGAAAAGATAGATGGACTAAGGGCAGGCACATAGATTATTTTCATTTGCAGAACCAGAGCAAGTCATCACTCTGGGCACTAGAACCAGAGTTAGGAGTCACCCCTCTGGGCAAGCAAGTAGCACACAAGAACAGTAATCCTCTTATAGGAGGACAAACCAACGCTAGCAGTTTAATTCTGTTTTCTGTGTTTGCACAAAACAAAGCTACTGGGTTAAAGCAGTTAAGGCTTTATGTTCACACCATATAATCATGAGCTGAGACAATGAACACTTATCCTTCATGCAAAAGTAGCCAAATATATCTCTCTTTTTGACAGATTATGATTTTTTTGTAATGAACAGTGAAAGTCAATTTAAGTTAGTCTTCTAAGGGTAGTAAATAAAGAAAAACTGCTTCAGTACAATTTAACTAGAGGACTTTCTTTTTCACTGTAAAGGCTGAAATGTATTTAAACCAGAAAAGTTTTCAGTTTAACACTTTTGTGAAAAAAACTATATACAAAATAGCTTAATGTAGACTGAGAGAGATCCCTGCATTTCTCCTCCTATGTGTGCCATTCTCATTGCAACCTTCTGCTATGCATTTCTCACATGTTCTCTCTTCACACGTGAGACCTTCAGTTTCTGTCAGGGATCCTTCATGGTTCTTGAGGCTGTCACCAGCCAAGTTAAGGAAGGAAATTTTGCTCAGTCCCTTCATTCCTTTCCCTAACAGCCATCCTCAACTAGCATTTTAGTGGATGAAGATTAACAAATCTTATGCTTCTTCAACACTTCATTTAATATTACAAAGTTCCACTTGGCCATAGAGCCTTTTCAACATGCGCCCAAAACAACATTCTGAATGAATGTCATGTTTCAGGTTTAGTTTTTCATTTACCAGATTTATCTATACATTTACGATACAATATGTACACATATAAAATCTTCTATACGTGCAGACTGCCTCTATATGATATACACCATATTTTCTGATTATCAAGCAACAAAGTGCTTGATAAATATGTTTTCAGCATACTTGGCTACCTTTATGCAAGCTGATTAATTAAACTGACCTCAACAGCAGAATACTCAAGATATAAATAATTGTTTCTCATAAGGAAATATTGCATATGGTTATAGATACATAACAATACTGTTATCATTATCCTCATAATTGCATAGCTACTTATTGCAAGTTTCACAGATGAAATACCTGTAAAATAATGATACTTCTACTAGAATTTCAGTGATACCTATAGTTTCTAGAGCAGTAGAGATTCAACTAGTTATTCTAATTATTAATAGTTAGTACTCATAGTTATTGCCAAAATTCTATTGCAAAGCACTGAATATTTTTTCCTTTCTCATTCTGTTTAAAAAAAAAATCCCTTTCTAAAGTTAACATTCATTACATTTTGGCATTAAAATAGTGATTTTTTTTTTTTAAATGATAGTTAGCAGTGTCAAGTAAATGTCTGGAGAGCGTCCGATACCCTGTTCCATTTCCCCTTCACATGTATCAACACGGTCTTTGTTTCCATTTTATTTTTAACTTCTGACATCAATCTAGTAGTGCAAATAATGAAGAAAATCATACTGTGACCAACTAAAGTATAAGGTCTATGGTCTTACACATTGGCTCTTGAGTGCCTCAGTTCACGATAGCATCTCATGATGCTATCTGCTAAATAGTTAAGGACAAATATTTTCCTCTTCCAAAGTGGTAAACCTTCAGTAATGTGTCCAGCCATAATTTCACAATATTGTCTCTGATAGAGATGACTGCCAGAAGTGTGAATCACTGCATCCATCTTCTCTATAAAAACACCCTTCATTAAGACAGAACTGTCTGTGGAAACTAAGGCGACTCCACTTGTACATAAGCTAATCAACCCATGATCCTCATGATATATGAACAGTTTTTGTCTTCCTCATACAGCTGCATGCCAAAGCTCTGCTAACACAATTTTGCAGTTGTGAGCTAAGGCACAGGAAAACTAAGTAGTGTGTCTAAAATCACACAAGGATTGGAGAAAAAAAAAAAGATTCAGGGTCTCCTTTTAGTGGGACAGGATCTCATCCCCTATGAGAAGACAGTGGGACAGTAGTCGAGCAGAAGGTAATACTATGAAACTCACTTTATGCTTCTGTCATTTTTATCTCCAGACAGAGCTGCTGAAGGAGTAGAGTTATATGGCATTACATGAAGTGTACATAGAGCTTGGATTTCCTTATGATTTTTTCAATTGCTCTGAAATGCATCTTTATGCTTATCCATTGTGTCTCTACTAATACACATAGGTATCATGCTGGCATTCGGCAAAGTAATTCTTTTGTCATCCACAGATGGACAGAGGATTACGCGGCTAAGAAATGAAATAAAAGCTAAATCCCCCTGCTTGACAAAGCTTTGCTTCTTTTCTCTTTCATTTCAGGATTACCGAGTGAACATCTTTCTCCGTCAGAACTGGAACGATCCACGTCTTGCATACAGTGAATATCCAGATGACTCTTTAGACCTAGATCCATCCATGTTGGACTCAATTTGGAAACCTGATCTGTTCTTTGCTAATGAGAAAGGTGCCAACTTTCATGAAGTTACAACAGACAATAAGTTACTGCGAATTTTCAAAAATGGAAATGTGCTTTATTCCATCAGGTGAGTCTCCGGTCTTTTTTTTATTATTATTATTGGTTTTTCTTTTTTGATATGAAGCTTAAAAGTGTGCCTACTGTCAATAAGCTGAAAGAACTGTTATTAGTTATCTTCAGTTGCTAGTCATGCAGAACTGTTGCTAAAGTAACTGAGTTTTCAATAGTGAATTTTTCATAATTACTGTTCACTGTTAATACAACAGAAAACGACCCCTAATTAGCTATATGCATAGTAAAAATAATAAGAAAGGTATCGCCTCCATTTAAAGAAAGAAAGAAACTTAGAAACCCATTCAAGCTAGGAGACATACACAGAGCAAATACTCTTGAAGTATTATAATCTCAGTAGGCCTGTGTATGAGTTCAAGTTCTTTCTTTCACTCCCTTCCAATAGCACGACAGTCTGCTGTTATTTCTCTGGCCATTTTGCATACTGCACTTGCTCTTCAATAGGGAAATGACACCTGGCTGAGGAAGCATGAGATTTAAAAACAGCTCACATCGCTGGGGGCAGAAGGAGTGGAAAGTAAATTTTTAAAAAGTTTTAAGAAGCTGTTAGCAGCAAATATATATATGTGTACCGATAAAATCATTCTGCCTCTTTTCTCTCCTCTGCTCCCCAGTTTCCTGATGCTAATACAGAAATCAGTAGGTATTCTTACCACCACCTTGAACAACCTGATCTAATGACAGATGCATTTGTTAAAGGCATAGTATTTTTAAACAGAATTTAGGTTTGCTTTCAATACAGTGAACTGCTTGTGCAAAATGTTGCACTTTTCAAAATAAATACATCTCATAATAAACATTTTCTACTTAATACTTTGTTTTGCAAGTTTTTATGACACTGCAGTAACAGATAATTTGGCTCTTTTGAAGAGACATCAGAAGGCTGCAAATCAGTTTGTACACTAAGGGAAAAAAAAGAAAAAAAACAAAAAAAAACCCTTTCATGGATGTAGCCATGGCATGGGAGTCGTCTTCCTCCCATTTTCCAGTGCAAGTGGCAACATCTTGTCAAGCTTACACAAGGGTCTGCCTAAACTTCCTAGGAGCACTTCACACTCAAAAGGAGGTTAGTCTGCCCCAGTCTACCGGGGAAATAAACATTCCTCAGCATCATCACATGCATTCTGGCACTAGAAAGTGGTAGAGAACAAGCAAAAAGGACTCCTTCTCTGGAAGAAAGTAAAAAGCAGAACACTAAGCCACTTTTCCCGAGATCATGCGAGTCACCCCAAGATGCACCAGTAGTTCCTAGCACTTTGGTCCACATGATGAAATAATTCCTTCTCCTCGCTCTACTCCCTCCAAATACACAAGGCACACACAACCACTCTGATGAAAGGTTGGATAGCAACTTCAGTATAATTTTGAGCGTGTTAATCATATACTTATAAAAACACTCAAAACATTACTAAATTTATAAAACTAAGCATTTGCTTTTTTTTTTTTTTTTTACAAAGCCAGAATGTTTATTTTGCCATGATTATATTAAGAAATATTACCAAGAGGATCAATTTCTGAAAGATTTAAAATCATATAATTGGCACACAGTTGATTTGTGAATTTCAGTTTAGCTTTTGATCAGGGTAGACAAATTGCTAATGAGCAAACATTTAAAAAAAAAAAAAGGAAGAACATTGGAAATGCCTAAAATGTTTTTTCTTTTTTATTTCCTAACCTCTTCTCCTCCCCTTAATTGCATCTGAACAAAATATTCAGAAAAAAAAAACAAATGAGAAGGTTCAATTCCTCCTGCTATAAAAACTTAATATAAAATACTAAAATATTTATTGAAGCACAAAGCAGAACCCAGGTGTCTCTTCTTTCAGATGACTTGCCTTATCACTATCATAGAGAAACCCATTACGGGCACCTAACACCTGCCCTTTGGAATTTGGGACTATTCCAATAGGAAGAAACTAGCTTCCTCCTCTGGCTCTCCCCCTTTAGTTCAGTGACTGGCAAGTTACACAGAAGTTATAGCAACAAAAAAAATCCTTGGAGAGGGCAGAGGGGAGGTAAAAAGAGAGACACCTCCTCGTGCTTGCTTGCTCTTGCTCACAGCACCTGCCCCCAGTGCCAAACACAGGCGAATGGAATTAAGAGAAGGGAGCAAGAGCACTGCCATTCTTAAAAAGGCCACATATACAAAGAATTAATTTTAAGCTTCTCATATATTTGGAAGACACTGTAGCAACTGAACTAATAGATGACTTTTCGGGGAAATGCCCATGCCTGGTATTTTCTAGCAAGTCGAAAGGTGCATGACCCTGAATGATAAATAAGCACCTATCAGTTCTTATTAAGGAGCTCATATGCCTTTACCTCACATATTCTTCTTTCTTATTTTTCCAAGATGTATCACTCAGAGGATGAATTAGTGTACTGTCACAAAATGTAAAAATACCTTCTTTCCGTACAGCCTGCAAAGCATTCGGCAAGAAATATCATGGCCAGCACAAAGCACAGCTGCCGTTCAAAACTGCAGGCATATTTCAGTCTACCACCAATACCCTAAGAAGCTATCTTAAACCTTTGTGTTGACAATATAAGCACCTTATTTTAGAACAATAACACATAAATTACTTTGCCAGGATGATTTGCAGCTGACATGTTTTGTGAAATTCTTGTAAATCTGGGTGTCTTTTATGCCAAGGATTTAAAATACTGTAAAATACTTCTGCTCTATCACAAAAAATGCATGCTGTTGTTGCATTCCTTCAGACATTCCAGAAAGTTATGCAACCCTCTTGAAAAATATATATTTTTCGGAAAGTCTGTATTAAGTTGGCTCTCTGCTTCTTTCCACAGCTTTTGTCATCACAGGTTATGGAAATAAAATAGGTTCATCTAACACCTAGCCCTTTTCAGAGTTCTTTAGTGGAAAAAATCGTGTTTCCTTCAGTTTCTAATGATTCCATGTGTTCTGATGCGCTCTTCCTATGCTATTTTTGTGGTATACTTTTAATATATGTTTTGTATTCTTTCAGATTGACTTTAATACTGTCCTGTCCAATGGATCTCAAAAATTTTCCAATGGATGTGCAAACATGTATAATGCAGCTGGAAAGCTGTAAGTTTGAGTAATGTATTCTCTTATAAATACTTTGGTAGAGATTTCAACAGTCACCCAGGGGACAGATAGAAAGACACCCAGTGGTGAGAGGAGAGCTAACCTTTTTAAAGTAGCCACTGAATTTATCAAAAGAATCTGTGAAGCACAGAGATACTTTTAACCTTACTTGCACTGACAATCAACAGTTTCAGGTAAATATAAAGCTATTATTAAACGTAAGTACTTAAACTCAAAGCTTATCTTTATGCAAAATTTATGCATAGAGGGATTCACTATAAATCCTTCCCTGCCTTCACACGTTCACATCTGAATGTGATCAAGGGCCAGTAACACACAAAAGTGCCTCTGTGTTATAGCTGCTTATCTGTGCTTTTTATATGACCTAAGGTCCTATTCTATAGGACTGTAATCTATAATAAGGTCTTATCTAAGGTCCTATTTGCAAATACAAATATCCTAAGCACAGCAGAGGGGATGGTAAAAACAGATTAGAGAGGCGAAGCTTTACAGAATTTTCTTTAAGAGCAACATCTTAGAAAAAAAGCTATCATTTGCTAACCCAACCCACCATACATTGCACTTACCATCTACCTTGAGGTGTCCTTTGAAACAGAAAAGAGGGTGACAAGGATAGAGAAGCTACGGCATTTCAAGGCACACAAAGAGAAAGGTAAAGATTCTGTCAGATGCCAGGACCTGAGCTAGCACAGTATGTGTGAGGAGGAAGACACAACATGCTTTAAATTCTCATCTGCCCTGTTTTGTGAATTGCCTTTTCACTTTAACATGAGATTGATTCTTAGCAGAGAGATCCTCCTAATGGTGTGAAAAAAAAAGAAATAATGATAAAAAGCATTCTCTGAATGATTTTGTCAATTTTGTCAAAGTTAATGATAGGAAAAACAATCAAGTAATTAACAAGTACCCATCTTAACAAGAGATATATGTTCACAGTTTTAGGATAAATACATAAAATAGCTCAGAAAAAGTTTCTGCTCATAAAATGAATGTAACTGATTGTTTGAAATATATTACAGAATAGCAATATCCCATACATAATGTGATTAAAATATTTCTTCTCTTTTTTTTTTAATGGAGCAAAGTAGGAGTAGAGAGAAACGGGAGGCGATTGGATATCAGTCAGTATGTCAGAACTGTTTGGTGTATGGATAATAGTATATACTTTTACAAAAAGTATATACTTTGTAAAAGTATATACTTTTACAAAAAAATTACAGGGTGTTCATGAAAGCCAGATCTATTTTTCATTACGATGGACATACGGTAATATTACTGCGCAGGCTTTTAATATGAGGTCAATGGCTCAACCTGACAGCAGAGATTTTCTTGACAAAAACTGAGCGACATTTGTTCCAATGTCAAGGAATTCAGGAGCATGTTGTACATCATCATTTAACTAAAAGTGCACATCTAATCTAAGGAGAGAACTCCACTAGCAACCAAAGGCACATATATAATTAATCTGACTAAAGAAAAAGTAACAAAGTACATACACATGGCAGGTAAACTATATCATTATGTTTCAAACAGAATGGACATAATATTTGATCGAACAAGATATAATTTTCTAAAATTATATTTAGAAAGTTATGAAAGAGTTACTTTAACAACTTCATAAAACTCTGCTGCATTTTTCCTTTCGTTCAAGCATTTTAAGAACAGGTCATACAACAATTGAGCATTCTTGAAAAAAAGAAGCATCTGTTTTGCTTTACAGAAACCTTGCAGGAGCTCACAAATTCCCACAAACTGCACCATAGGACAGCAGTAGTTGTTAGTTGAATAGCACTGTAGATGGTCTACTGTACTTTTCAGCCGAACATTTTGCACTGCACATTTTAATCATCCAGTTCAGTAGGAGCAAATTTCCTGCTGCACATTCCCGTGGAACAGAGGGGCAATGTTCACAGAAGAGCTTAGCAAAATAGAAATGTTTGTTTCAGTTTAAGATGTCTTAATATTAGATTTACACAGAAGGATCATATTTGATTTCACAGAGAAGTTAGAAGCAACAAAACCTTCTCCTTAAACCCCTGTCTGACTATGCTTTTAGTATAATTCCTGTTACTGAAAAAAAGAGGCTATAGCCAAATTAGCTTTAAATTATCAGTCAGAAAATTTTGCATGGAGGAGCTCTGGCTAGTATGTACCTATCTGCTAGCAGAATAACCAGGTAGGTTTGCAAGAATTTGACTGCAATTCCTGGAAAGAGAGAAACAATTTTGGGATGGACCAAAGGAAGAGAAGCCCAATAACACAATTTCTGAGTGCACTGGTCTTCTAGAGCCTCAAGTCATCTGTCCAAAAGCAGCTTTTCTATACAGTGAGTACATGAAAGAAAACAAGATACTTCAGAAGAGTTATAACAATGGATACATGCCAGGCAGGTTAGGAAATGCTTAAAATGCACACTGACAACTTTCCAGAACTTTTAAAGACACATAGGCAACCATTCAAGATCCACAGTCACCAGATAAAAACAGGCAGTACAGAGGAAGGAAAGGGGAAAAAAAAAAAAAAAAAAAAAAAAAANAAAAAAAAAAAAAAAAAAAAAAAAGATGAGTACATTTATTATTTCTCATGCTTATCCACTTCACATCAAATCTCCTGCGGTAAGAACTGAAATAACCCAAAGAGCCCGAATCCATCCATGAAAGATTCTTGGATGGATGCAGGCTCTTCGGGTTATTTCAGTTTCTAGGCTACAGTGTCACACTCTCATGTGAGCCTGCCTCATATTCTCTGGTGCAGTGAGACAGCTTAACTAGGGGGAGTGAAGAAAATACCCTTCTGATACCTTGCACTGGCCAGAGAAGGGACAGAGATGGGTTTCAAAACAGATAGCTGGGCAAATCATCTAATCATCAGGATATTTTATAAATAGAAAACTGGTGGCAGGAGCAAAATAGCAACATTGGTGCTTTCAGATGTTTCTCTCTAAAGTGACAATCACCACTGTCTTTTGCCCTGCAAACTATGAAATTCCACTACTTATTTATTTCCTTTTCTTTAAATTGTCTCTGCTCTTGCAAGGCTTGTTTCTGCACGTGACACTAAGTAAATGAGCTTGTTACTTAAAAATTACTCATCTTAATCATTTCACCACCATTCTAGAACAGGCTCACCGTTATTTTGAAAGATCAGCCTATGTGTTTTATCCCTGCTATAAAATAATCTTGTTTAGTAATACATTCTCCTCACCAATACAGATACTGTTTTTCCAGCATGGAAAGTTCTTAGTGAAAAATTCATCTATAGCTTTTCTCCCTTAATGGAATTTTCATTTTTAACCAGCTCTTGCAATGGTTATTACAAGGTCACTCTAAGCAGTTAGATTTCCCCCTGGACATTTATATAACATAGTGTCTGGAAAATATCAAAGTTAAAATATCTTCCATTTTTAAGTGATTTTTTTTTAACTTAAATAATTTCTTAGAAACTAAAACAAACCTTTTCATGTCCTTTTGCGTTTCATGCTAGAGTAGTCTACAGGCATGTGAGATAATTTCAGTTTTACTCTGCTTGAATAAAATACATGGAATGGCAGCTAAATACATATTTATTTCTAAGATCTATCTCCAATGGAAAAAAATGTTTTTCCTTTATATGTTACAGCTTGTTGAATCTTTTTGAAAATCACTTTTATCTCAATGCATTCCCTTACCTATATATTACAGTTGTACTTATCTGTGCAATACTCATGGATTTTCAAACAATAGTACCATAAAAATATTAAATCAGTTATGAAAGAAGGAATATGCTATGCACCTCCTTACCCAACAAAATACTTAATTTTATATTGATAATTATAGATCTTTTAACTTCTAAAAAGGATGGTTTTTTTTTTCCTTGTTTGATTTCTGGGGGATTCCCACAACAGCACAGATAGCAGAACTGAACAGTATTTCTTCCCTGGCAGGGAGGTCATCAGGGTGTCGACCTGAGGGAGAGTCAATGTGGGCACCCTAGGTCAATACCTGCTGCTGCCCAAGTGTTTGTGGCCTTCTCTGCCTTCCATTTCAGCGGTACAAAAACTGCCAGCTCCTCTCCTTGTGCACTCCACTCTGTCGAAGGGTGACTCAGCCCACTGTATATCTGAAATGAGACGTCACACACAGCTAAAAACAGCTAGATATTTGGGCTTTACCATTATGAAAAGGAAGAAAGGGCAGGAGTAACTCTAAAGCTGCTGCTGACCTCATGCAAGCTGATATTCAAGTGATAGTTGAAAACCTATAGGTTCCAGGAATACTCTGTTTGAGAGAAATGGAAGAGAACTGAGCCTGAAATGTTATTCTTATCTGAAGGGCTAAGGATAAACCCATAACTCCCAAGGGAGAGATCCTGTCAGAACCACTTAGAGGGCAATGCAAAGGGCTGACCTTTTACAAAGCAGCTCAAAAGTGCATCAAATTAAACCCTGCTTTCTTGGAGCTCCAGCACAGACTTAGCCCTGAAACGCAGCACAAGGGATTTCTCAGGCTAATATTTTTAATGGCTAACATGTATTAGAACAATTTATTCCATCCCCTAGGCTGTAGTTGAGTATGGTAGATCAATGACGTCCTCCCCATGCTACGTTATTTGGAATTTAGGGCACAATCCAAACCTCTGCCATGGTTTTGGGCCTACTAATCTGCTGGGAGCCTGTCCTGGAGACACTCTGCTGGGCTGCCTGACAGCAAAGTGGTCAAATTACTCCAGCCAGCGTGGCTGTAGCCCTTGCCTCAGCTGGGTACCTGAGGAGCTGCTCAGTTGGCTGAATAAATCCAGTGTCAGTCTTGGATCTGTACCTTAGATTGTAAATATAGAAACATGAGAATGGAATTTAGATAAATCATTAAAAGAACTATAAAAAATGTGTAGTCGAATTCTCTTTTACAAAAATGCTAGATATCCATTTTTTTCATGCCATTTATGTGGTTGTTAGTTGAACAGAGAAAAAGAGTTATGTTTTAACATGCATTTATCTAGTA